TGTTCTTAGACGCAACACTCTACTGTCTTCCACTCGAAGTGTTGCTCGAATTTGAAGTATGAGGCCAAAGTAACTATAGACTAAGGCAGAAAATCCTCCCTCTACATAAGGGTTTAACAGAGAGTGGGCTAAGGAGGTGAGGGGTAGGAGAGTTAACCAAAATCAAGGGTAGGAAAGAAAGACCATGTGCCCAGTGTATGAAGGAAGATGTCCGGTATGTGTAAGTAAAGCTGCTTCTAGAAACAAGAATCCCAGTGCCAGATTGGGGCGGGGGTACCTCCATAGGAGTTGTTGGTCAGGATAGCCCCCAGAGCCCTGAGAATACAAGTTTGTGCTTTTTCTTGCCTGGCCAAACACTAAAACTAGATGATAATATCTTATTGTTGGAGATAACACATATCATGATTGCAAGGAATTGAGGAAATTATGTAGAATTGAGTTGCTGGCTAGCTTTCAAAATATCAGAAAGTGCTATACAGGCTTCTAGGGGAGATAAGGCATCAATAGTCTTACTCAGGAATGAACTCTGTAAACTACAACACAATCCTGTCAGGCAAAATGTGCTTACATGTGTAGTGTGGACAACCATCATAGGGGTAACCAGCTACTCTTGACTTAGATACAAGCCTTGCTCTACAGAAGGGTCCTATGCCTGGTACTATAAGCCAGTATTGCATACTTCTACTCCCATAGATCAGCTCGTTGCTTGTCTATCATCAGAGGAGGTTCTTACAGGTGATGGGCGTTACCATGGAGACCCACAACTGGACAATGTGCACAGAGTGAGAGACTCTGGAGATCTCAGTTCTAAAGGACATGGCTCCATCAACCACTCGGAAGCTGTGGGGAAGAGGAGGCAAAGACTGTAACTGTCAGAGCTGATGGGTGGCTCCAGTGAGTCAGAGTATTCCAGAACAAGGCTGTACGTCTGAGCCCACAGCATCGTGGTAGCATACACAAGAATGGCACGGACACAAGTCAGACAGGGGAAAATGAGTTTTCTCCAATGGAGTATCACTGAGATGGTCCCCAACAGTTGGTCAAAACACACACACACACACACACACACACACACCACCACCATCATCATCATCATCATCAACAACAACAACACCGAACAAACAACAAAAACCTCTACATTTTTGAGAACTTTTTGTTTTGTTTGGCATTTTTGTTTGGTTTAGATTTTCACTTTTTTTTGGGTTATTGAGAGAGCGAGCACAAAGTCATGCGGGTAGGTAGGGGTAGGGAGGATCTGAGAGGAGTTGGGGGAGGAGAAAGTATGATCAAAATAGATTGTATGAAACATGTTAATAAATAAGGAAAGCCCATGTCTTAGAAATTCATAGACCACATGAGGGAAAGTACTACTGACGGTTTGAAGCCGCAAAACAATTCCACACCAGTTAAGAATTAGGGATAATAAAAAGGGTTATTTATTTGAGGGGAAAATCTTACAGATCACTGTCCCAAACAACAGTCCTTTCATCACAAACAGGAAACAGACAATCTAGTCGCTGGAAAGGGAGCCGGAAGCAAGAGAGAGGGTGCCCAGTTCCCGCTGCTTTTTAAAGTATAAGAGACCATGCCTTAATGGGCTGGTATCTTAAAGGCTATTGACTGAAGGAGTGGAAGGAGCCTCCGCAGCACTGGTTAACTAAATAGACAAAAAGGCAATGCGTTGTCTAAATATTTGTTTATACTCCTAGATTAAGGCTACTCACAAGTCTAATAAGAGAAGCTTTTATTTGCAGGGAATGACAGTGAATGCTTAGACTCATGACTGCCCAAGATGCTGAGAATAGAAAGCAGGTTTGGCCCTAAACGTTTCATTTATCCTAATTCTTGCAAGATTCCTGGAACCGGGCAGAAGAGGGGATGAAAAGAACGTAAGAGCTGAAAAATAGAGGGAGGGCAGCAAAATCCCATCCTCTATATACAGTGCTCACAGTGTGGTGCTAACTTCCAGCAGTTGAGATGACCTGCTCCGGGCTTGTACAAGGCAATTCTCAGTTGTCAGTCATGTACTGGGGAGGGGCTTCCGGAGCCCGTACTCCTTACTGCTGAATTGTGGGCCCCCGATAGCCACTGTCTTCTGTACTCGCCAGACTCCATTGGATAGTTCCAATCCCAAAATTACACAGATGGCCCTGGCAAAACCCAGAGGGACACGAACAAAATGAGAAGCCATAAATGCGGGAAAGAAAGTACCCAGGAAGAGGGAGTTTGGTAGGGAAGAGGGAAGACAGGAGACGGTAGGAATGAGAACAATCAGAATTCATTATGTGCACGTGTGAAGATACCAAAGAACAAACTCAATTAAAAATTAAAATAAATGAAGCCGAGACGGTCAAAATGTTCAGAACAAACTGAGATGAAGAACATCATTCTAAAAGCAAAGTTGAGAAGCCTGTGTATCCTGGTGGTAAAGGTGAAGCCTTGTCACTGGAGGAAAGTGGCCTCTGAAGGTGTGCCTATTTCGTGAGCCAAGCCAATTGAAGCCAAGTTCTTACTGTTTTGTTCCACTTCAAAAGAAGATTTCAGAAGGAATACTGAAGTTGAAATAAAATATATTAATAAAAATATAATTGCCTTATTAATATTGAATCACACAAGGGGATTTTCACCCTTTCTATTAAGCTTTTGTTTAACATTTTAGTACTAGTCTAGAACTACTCAGAAGGAATTCTTTGCAATTGCTGTTTTACAGTGTGGCAGCCTGTCATGGAGACTTTCAAGAATCCTGCATGTGATAAAAACTGCTTTCAACACATACTTTCCACTCTTCAAGAAAGGACTGCAATTTTATGCTTACATTCTCTTATTCTATATGTTTTTTTTTTGCCAACAGGAGATTTTTTTGTTTTTTGTTTCTTTCTTTCTTTTTTTAATAAGGGCACTTGCTAGCCAAAGCTTTTATTTCATAGAACGTGCATTACTGCTTGAATTTTTCCCCCTAATTCTAAAGCAGCATACCTCAGAGGCCGACCTCACCCATGGGAAGTACAGGAAACCCCAGTTCTAATTGAACTGATTCACTTAACTCAACCTGTCCGAGAACAATTAAAGGGTCACCATAGGAAATATCCCACAGTTTACAAGATCATATTTCTGCACAGCACAGCAACAACAGAGAAAATGACATGTTCATTCTAGTTTTTTCTTCTTAACTAATTAGTTTGTTTGTTTATTGGCAGGGTCTTACTTTGTAGCACTGGGAATCTAGGTTTCCTTTGTCAAAATAAAAGGATGCACATCCAGGAATACAATAGGCTGTATGGAACTAAATTTTCATAACTCGCTTAGAAACAAGCATGGATTGGACAATAGGGAAGCCAGTGCACTGATCTCACTTCACTGGGCTACTCTGGGGCTGCATGGGGCTGACTGGCCCAGGAGGTCACTTGGCTCAAGGATGCTTTGTAAGCTTGATCCAGACCTAGATTCTCATCAGTGGGATGACCACATCTGCTCTGCTAAATATTAGCAAGAGTGACGCAGAAGCTTGGTATGTTGTGCCTGTTAAATGAAAAAGAAAAATGCAATTAAAATATCTGAAGGATCTGTGTCTCACAAACCAGGATCTTAAAAATATCCCAGCCGATAAGTCTTTACTGGAGAATTAAGTAATTCTGGCTGCTGTTTCCTTTAGAGTAATACCTCCTGGGTGTGATGCAAGAAGAGCTGTCCAGGCGGATACAGACCATCCATCTTGCTGACCAACACTGAGTTCTTAGGGAGATTCTGTTGCTTGAACAGCACCCAGGAACCAGCATTTAAATAGTACTTCAGGCAGTCGGGGCCATCTGTTAGGAAAGTGCTCCAAATAAACTTGATGGTCTGGTCCTGTGAAATCATACTTTTTATTTAATGATAGGACTCTATTTTGTTCATTGCAGTATTGTTGGTTCGTCTCGGTGAGGAGTTTTGTGATTCTGGGCAACTTCTTTCTCTGGTCTGAGTTCTTGTTATAAATGCAAAGGCATATTCCATTGCTTAGAGTTGTTTGGCAGCCTCTCTGAAAAATCTGAGAAATGACTGCACAGAAAGGATGCTCCCCCTCCCTTGGGTATCCTTTATCCCTTCAGTTGCTTCTGTGCCCTGCACAGATATTTTGCATGTTGGTAATGTGGGTTTTTCCATCTATGCTTGTGCAGAGGTTTTATTCAAAGTCCAGTGTAAATGGTACTAACCCTGCCCCCTCATTCTTAGAAGTGAAAGGTACCCATTACCTGAATTCCCGTATATTTAAAGTGTGTCTGTCTCTTATTGAGTTTACTATTTCCAGCTGTGCAGAAATACTTATGTTTATGTCTGTACATTTTATCTTCCTTTAGACTTTGAGACTTTGATTGTGTTTTGCTGTTGTGTCCCAAATAAGAAATATGTGCTTGGCTTTAAAAGCACTCTCTAGTTTAATGAGCAGAGCAATGAACAGAGTTTGTTAAATTGTAGTAACTCATATCCTTTGCAAATATTCAATCAAAAACATACTTGTTAAGCATCTAGTATTTAACCTGTGGTCTGCTAGATTCTGTGTAGGCTTGGTGTCATGAAAGTGAAACGTCTGCTTGGCCCTTCATGCTGTTGTATGATGTCATTATTTATGGTTAGGTAAATGTCTCCTTAAAGGTTAAATATTTGTGATGACAATAAACAAACAAAGAAGACTCAAAAATCAGAAAGACATACATCAGTGCATTCATTGGTGAGCTTTGTCCAGTGAAGAGATGTTCAATTTTTTTCTTTTTAATACTTAGAGCTCTTTTTTCTTTCATCATGTTTCCTTCCTTCCCCCTTCTTTCCTTCCTTCCTTCCTTCCTTTCTGGGTGAGCATATATGTCTGTATGTATATATGTATGTGTGCATGTATGTATGTGTATTATTGTGCCATACATAGATAAACAAGAATGGACACTTGGGCTAAGTTTGAAATCCTCGAGTAGACCAGCACATGAGGTTGAAGTGATTTGCTTCTTTTCTGTGTGTTCTTATTTCAGATGATGGAAAACTGTCCTTTGAGGAATTTAAAGCATATTTTGCAGACGGAGTTCTCAGTGGAGAAGAACTGCATGAACTCTTCCACACCATTGACACGCACAACACCAAGTAAGGAATATTTCCTATCAGCGGACTTCGTGAATGAGGTGGAGAGGGTGTGAGTCACTCAGAGACATGTCAAGAGTACATTCTGTAGTGTTCAGTTCTGAGATAGCCTTTCCTTAAAATGCAGATGCTCTAAAAACCCTTCAGAACCTTTCAAATAATTCTTCTGTATTAATTTTAGATTGCATCCTCTTTATAAAATATAAAACAAAGAGGACATGATAAATATAGTCCATCATTAATAGATAAGTAAAATCCATCTCTCCATCTTTGTATAATCTAAACTTCCTTTGTCTGAAAATTGTCTTCTGGGCATTACATTGGTATGCTAAGAAGAAATTACTGCAGTTTTAACCTGAAATTACTGTTACTTGAGAGCTATAGGTAATGTCGGGCACAGGAGAGCTCTGGAGAATTGATTCTTGGGGGGTCATATGGACCCTTCTTTTGGAGTAAGAAGATTCTGTTTGTGCCCCGCCCCCCCGCCAGGCTGAAATCATAAGATAATGAGGACTTTAGGAATATAGCAGCAGAAATGTACTGCTTGTTTAAGATTACTGAACCAAATCATATTATTTTTCACAGTAACAATTAAACAAGTCTAATAGGAAAGAACATGGACTCACATGTGCCTGAAGACCCACCACAATGCCTACTGCCTGAACAACCATGCTTTGCTGTAGGCAAAGCCCTGACTTGGTCCCAGGCAGTAAGCCAGTCTGCTGAGACAATGCTCCGGAACTCTTTGCTATGAACAGACATTTTCTTGAGGCAAACAATCTAAAATTTAAAAAATTAAATTCACTTTATTCAAGTGGTTGAGTATTTTTAAAACAATAAGTATCTAGAATCCAAGGCGATTTTAATTTCAATTGGCTATGCCTTAAGCCTTTTGTTGTCAGAAATAAGATTAGGCTTAGTAGCTGACAATTTCAGTATACTATTGAAACTTCTGTGATTGATGTATTTGCAGGACACTTGAGAATCCCAAAGAAGGAACAGGTCAGTGTGGCTCAGAAACTGAGATAAGAAAAGAAAGTAGAAACCGCTTAGGTATAGAAGTACAGGAAACCAGGGAGAACATTCCAGTCAAGAAATGGGAAATATATAATGGGCTTGGTGATTTTTTTTTGGTCAGGGGAAGGAAAGGCACAAGAGTTGATGGAGTGGGCCTGGGAGGACTGGGAAGCTGTTGAGTTTCAAATGAAATTCCCAAATAATCAATAAAAATACAAAAAAAACCCCAAGTAATTCCATTGTGTGAAATTCCTAAATAACAAATAATAATAATATGTTAGAAATAAAATAGATGTTCAAGAATTAAAAAAAAATCAAAAGAAAGGGCACAAAGAAAGTTCTGGGCGCATGGGATGAGGAAGAGTTACTTCTGATTCCCAAAGTGTCACCTAGAGATCTAAATGGGAAGGAACAGAGTAAAGAATGAGTTGGGTGAGAAATAATGTATGTCCTGAGTTTTTAAAAGCACTTCAACTTTATGCAAGTCAAAGGCGACCTAGTCAAGAACTCTAGCAACATCTTATAGGTCACTGTGGTTCCAGTGAGGGACTAGCTAAAATGCCAAGATGGAAGAAGACAATAGCTCTTAGATAAATGTTAGATGGCTACTGAGGAAACAGAACGTTCGTGCATGGAAGGAAGCCATTGGGAGAAAGGGATGCAGAGGAGGCAGAGACTCGGCTTGTGTCTTGGGTATCCGTATCCTGTTGGAAGTTGGTGCACTCACACTCCATCAGGCATGCTGTTGATTTCCTCCCTTAATAGGTCAAGTTTTAAAAGTATCTGGATTTGGAACATTTATTGAGATTTCTGTCTTTAGAATTTGGTGTTATGTATATTTTTCAATGCATATTTACTCAAGTTAAGGAGAAAGTTTTCACTTGGTTTTGTTTGTTCGATTTTGCCTTTTTTTATTTATATTTTTAATAGTTTGTGTTACTTTGCATGCTTATAAGATGACTGAGTACCAAAAACTGAGATGTGTAATAGTTTATACAAAGCCTAAAGAAGTGTACATTTCTATTGCTTGTTCTTATATGCATTAGTAACAACTGTGTTTTCTAGCATAATTTAATCAATTTAAAACTTAAAATATTAGTTGGGGACCTCTGAATTATATTCATGAAATTCATCCTTAGAACGGGTTGTCAGTGCCAAGCTTTGATCTCTTACAAAGATCAATTCAGTCTTCAACATAGAAATCCCAGTGCTTCATTTTAAGCTAAAAAAAAAAAAAAAACAACTTTCATCTTTCTTGATCCAAGTTTGTGCTCTATATGCCAATTATTTCTCTTTTTCTACTAACTTTCTCAGGACATATGCTATCCTCCCAAATACTGATGCTCCCCAACCACCAAACTGCTCTAATGTAACCATGAGCACAGCCTGGCCCCCCAGAAGCCAATTAACTTTGGTGAGGTGGAACCGCACCAGTTAACTCTCTTTCCACTTTTCGCAACTCCCTGGTCCTTGTCCCTCTCAATGTCTGGTGGTTGAATATTTTTTATTATTTTTTTTTATTTATTAAAAATTTCCACCTCCTCCCCTCCTCCCATTTTCTTCCCCCTCCCCCCATCCCCTCTTCCCCCTCCTTCTCCAGTTCTAAGAGAAGTCAGGGTGCCCTGCCCTGTGGGTCATCCAAGGCCCTCCCCACTCCATCCAGGTCTAGGAAGGTGTGCATCCAAACAGACTAGGCTCCCACAAAGCCAGTACATGCAGTAGAATCAAAACCCAGTGCCTTTATCATTGGCTTCTCAGTCTGCCCTTATTGTCAGCCACATTTTGCTTGGCCATAAAACCAGTCTTTTAGAAGAGTTTAATTATGGCTTGTATCTACAATGCAGTAAATTAGTGCACATTAAGTGTCCAAGCTAGGCACATTACTTCTTACAAAAAGGATGCCTGAGTTGAGATAACTTTTTCATTCATTTCCAAGTCAGCCTATGAACACTGTATTCACATTCACCGTCCACGATACAGCAGGAACTTGAGCTCAGTGCTCAGAAAAATCTCTTCCTAAGGTGAATCCCATGCAGCGTCTGTTGTTTGATGCTGTGCTACGCTTTGAGTATATGGTAAATGGTTTCTCAAAAGTTGCATTCCCCACACATCTAACCCCGACATTTTGCTCAACGCAGAGTTTTTTTTTTTCAACACAGAGTTTTTAAAAATGAAAAGAATCCTTAGTGGAAGGAGAAAAACGCGAAGGCTTCATCTGTTCAACTCTCTATCACCTGTTGAAATTAATAGTTTAAATTGATAGGGGTTTTATTCATTAGGCATGAGCACTCAGAAAGTTCTTGTGGATTATCATTACGTAGAGTGATTCATGGAATATGTAACAATATGATACTTGAATTAGATGGTCTGATGAAGACAAGATTGTGAAATTAAAGATATTGCTAACAAAGAATGGCATTATTAAAGACTAACTTCTTAAATTTAGTAACTGTGAACAAGCTAATATTTCAAATTAAATTGAAAATTTCTCGTTCATCTCATTAACACTTTATAGTTTCAATATCTGTATTAATTGTCTTCTTTCTAGCGAAATATTCCTAATCTTCCCTTTTTCTAAAGAGAAAAAAATTAATCTCCCAACAATTTAAGTTAGCTTTCTTTATTACAATCCTCCAAGACATAGAGTATGTCTCCTAGACACACATTTGTCTTCCCAACAAAGAAAATAAAATTTATTCAGAAAAGAATACTCACAATGCTATGAATATATAAGTTTGGGGAAAATAATACTAGCAAAAACTAAATTTATAGCTAGGTGCTCATAAATGAGAGCCACCACCCTGGGAAAAAACAAGAATAGAGGTAAGATTGTTAGGTCAGGGAGAAACTTTCACAGCACACAGAAGGTACTCTCTCTCCCTAGAAAGTCAGCATTGCTACATTTTGCAACCAGATAGATAGAAATAAGAAAATTTAGAAAAATCCTTATGGTATTAGTCATAGCAGAAGCAGGGGAGAATCTCCCTAGAGACCTAAAGCAATTTTGCCAGTGAGCTGCACTTAGGAGCTCCAGATTGTCAGAGAAGACCAAATGGTAGACCAGATGGAAGTTTTGCTCATGATGCAGAAAGTGAACATAAAGAAAAGTATCCCAAGACTCTCAGAGAGGGGCTCATGACTAGAGACTCATACGTTCAAATAGAAGATTCTTTGTTCCAGACTAAAATAGTTTTTTGGATGCTGAGCACTGATATTTCAACCCTGTGCTTGTTAACTCACTGACGCTCACCAAAGTGACAGAAATATCACTGACTACTAAACCAAGTTAGCTCTGGAATTGAAAATATTTTTTCTTATACTAAACTGACTCTCTCTCTCTCTCTCTCTCTGTCTCTCTCTCTCTGTCTGTGTGTGTGTGTGTGTGTGTGTGTGTGTGTGTGTGTGTGTATGTGTGTCTAATTTCCACTTAGTCTGCTCATTTGGGTCATCCAGAATGTGAATATTTTATTTCATGTCTCTTCAACATTTCAAAACAGTTTTATGCACCAATGATGAGATTAAAATCCCATAATAATTAGAGAGTAATTATATCAAAGGGTTTGTTTCAGATGACAAAGAAATGCTTTATCTGAAGTAGAAAAAGTTATTTAGCCTACATATATGCATGACCGTTAATTCCTAAAGTATGATGAGTTGGTTGATAATGCTACTCTCTTTCTTAATTCATCACACTGCTTAAGGAGAGACATAAACACTGGGGCTCTCTGAGAGGGTGTGCAGTATAGTTGTGCATGGCATTGTGATTAGAAAGGTCATTGCCATTCTAACCATGAGTGAGACAGATCTCCTTGGTGGTGTAGCCTAGCCTTCTTCAACTGGCACTGAGGATGTGGGAAGTAAAGCCATAAACTGAGTACCCGGAAAAGTAGAGTAGTCCTCAATCCCCGATATTAATTACAAGTATGGGGTGGCTAAAAGTGCATAAGCAAGAAACCAGAGAGTGAGAAGTGATAGAGCTTAGGAAC